TCATAACACGCCCATTAAAAAGACACAGGCTAACAGATTGAATACAAAGACAGAATCCATCCTTCTTCTGTATACAAGAAACATACCTTAACTTCAAAGACAGCTATTACCTCAGAATAAAGGGCTGGGAAAAGATTTTCCAATCAAATGGGCCCAAGAAACAAGCTGGTGTAGCAATCCTAATATCTAACAAAGCAACTTAAAATGATGTATAAACCCTAGTGAAAGAGAAGCACTTCATCAAAAATCTCCCAACCAAAAAAGGCCCAGGGCCAGATGGCTTCACATACAGAATTCTAACAGAAATTCAAACAAGAGCTAATACCAGTACTCCTCAAATTGTTCCACAAAATAGCAGCAGAAGGACGTGGCCAAACTCTTTTTATGAGTTTACAATTACCTTGATACCCAAATAGTAGTGTCAAGTGTATTTCTGCATAACTCAGAAGAGTCATACTCTAAACTCTATGTATAAACAGACATTTATAGAACTTTCTATCCAAACACAAAAGTATATGCCTTCTTTTCAGCATCACATGAACCTTCTCAAAAATCGACCACATTCTCGGTAACATAGCAAACCTCAACAGGTACAAAAAAATGGAATATTCCCTGTGTCTTATCAGACCACCATGCTTTAATGTTAGAAATCAAAACAAATCACAGTGCAAAAATCCTACCAACTCAAGGAAATTGAACAATACACTATTGCAGCATTCCTGGGTCAAGGAATAAAGAAAGAAAGAAATTAAAGACTTCCTAGAATTCAATGAAAATGTTGACACAACATACCCAAATTTATGGGACACTTTGAAAGCAGTACAAAGAGGAAAGTTCATAGCTCTAAGTGCTCACATGAAGAAACTAGAGAATAGCCACACCAGAGATTTGACATCACAGCTGAAAGCTCTTGAAAAATGGAAGCAAATTCACCCCGGAGGAGCAGACACCAGGAAATAATCAAACGGAGGGCAGAAATCAATAAAGTTGAAACAAAGAAAACAGTGCCAAGAATCAATATAACAAAGAGTTGGTTCTTCGAGAAAATCAACAAGATAGACAAACCGTTATCCAAACTCACCAAAAGGCAGAGAGAGATCATGCAAATTAACAAAATCAGAAATGAAAAGGGGGACATAACAATGGACATTGAGGAAATCCAGAGAAATTTCATGTCATAATTTGAAAACCTGTACTCCCAAAATTTGAAAATTTAAAGGAAATGGACAATTTTCTGGACAGTTAATTCTTACCAAAATTGAATCAAGAACAGATAAGCAACTCAAACAGACATATAACCTTTAAGGAAATATAAGCATCCCTACATCAAAGTAACCTGTTTTCTCTACTTCCATCCATTTGCCTAAAAGTTTCATGAAGTGATTTTTTTTATAGCTGACTAGTATCTCATTGCATAAATGTACCACATTTTCCTTATCCATTCTTCATGTGAGGGGAATCTACATTGTTTCCTGGTTCTGAATATTATGAATATTGTGCTATGAACATTGTTGAGCAAATGTCCTTGTGGGATGATTGAAAGTACTTTGGGTATAAGCCCAAAAGTGGTATCACTGGGGATTTAGGTACATTGATTCCCAATTTTCTTAAGACAAGATAAACAAGTTGAATAGACCTATAACCCCTAAGGAAATAGAAGCAGTCATTAAAAGACTCCAAACCAGAAAAATCTCAGGACCAGATGGCTTTAGTGCAGAATTCTACCAGAATTTCAAAGAAGAACAAACTCCAATACCCATCAAATTATCCCACAAAATAGAAACAGAAGGAACATTGCCAAACTCCTTTTATGAGGCTACAGTAATCCTGATACCCAAACCACACAAAGATGTTCATTCAATTTTTAGCAGCTTGGAAATTGAAAAATGTTCACATTAAAAAAAAAGAAACTATTCCAGTAACTGAATACAACAGTTTTCTTGGTTGATGAGTATTGACCAAGACAATCTTAATGAACCAGTACTAAGCCAAGAGATTGCATTACAATCTACACCTTACTAAATTCTGTTATGTGCTTTGAATATTCCACATTGTCTTTTTTATATTCTAATTTCAAGAGTCCTTTCTGCACTGACAAACATCCAATTATCTATACCACATTACATATATCTGCCTTAGATATAAAAGTGAATAGGATTAACAGTGAAATCAGTAACAGTGACAATGTAGACAAATTAATGAAACACATATTGCAATTTTTCTAATCCTCTACATTTGATGATATTAATAAATTATTAACTATAAAGAGAAATTTGGTTTAATCTTGAGATCATAAAAGGGCTTTCCTATGAAAGTTGAAAGAGTAACTATTTTTCTGGTATATACAAAGAGCTGCAGAATTCATTGAATGTTGGATTCTGATTATCCTGGCTTTAATGACCCATAGTATTGTTCCATATATGAGAAATTAGTCAATTGAAAAAAATTTTAATAGGAATTTTCCTACTGTTCAACTCTGCTAGTATGTTGGTTGGATTCAGAATGAGTACTCATCTTATTCCTTGATTTTCCTTAAGAGAACCTCGAGGAATAAACAAACCTTCCTCAGATTCTTCTTAGCATCCACAGTCACTTTGAGAATTACAGAAATATTTGCCATGGTCTGTAGTTTTCCAATTTCAATGTACTTAGTAACTGCATTGGAACACATTGTAATTTTGGGAGTTGAGAATCCAAAGAGATTTCTCAGCAGAATTTATTTCTTAAGTTTACCCTAACTTTGAGGATTTTTTCTTCAAATATAGATGATATGTTTTATGTATATCTTTCAAATAGATCTTTCTGGGTTTAGGGAAGTTTCTGTACTTACGCCTTTGGCATTTAAAAATACATTTGATAAACAGAATAGTCTTGTGGCAGAAGGACGAGGCATGGTTCTCTTAGTAAGAAAGCATTAATAAAATAGATATAAAACATAGAATTCTATTAAACACTAATTTGGTTTTTGTATTTCATTCTGTTGTTATAGGATGGTCTCTTAATTTTCAAAATATTGTATGTACAGGACAAATTATAATCTGTAGTATAAGAACATTACAAAAACCCAAACAAGAAGATTACTTTGGTGAAACCAGTGTTCTGAAAGCTTCAGTTAAGTGTGACCTAATAGACCAATAAGAATTACTATACTTAATAAGAGCTATGGAATTCATCAAATGTACCACAATTTTATTTCATCATTCTTGAAAGAAAAGAAATTTTACAGATTTTTTAACCTTTTATATATAAAAGTGGAATAGTTTAAAATATCAATGAACTACTTTAGAATATGTCTGTGTTTCTAAGATATATATATATATATATATATATATATATATATATATATATGTATGTATGTATGTGTGTGTATTTCTAAAGAAAATGTATAAGTGTAAATACACATATATGTGTATGTATGTATTCTATCACTATTGCCTTTTTTCCTATCTTTCTCAAATAGCCAAGGATTTTTCTAATACCATAGAAAACTTTTGGGAATGTTTAGAAAATAATTCTTAGCTTTCTTTGAAGGCTATAATCTATAAAAGGAAAATGTGTACTTGAAAAACAAGCAAAGTCATGATAAAAAAAGAAAATGCCATCCATAATTCCTTAATTTTCCAGTCTTCAAATATGGCTGTTCTGAATTTACTACAGTTTCAATTGTATGTAAATTCTTCCCTTTATAAAAATACAGCAGTCATAGATTTGTTTTTTTTTTCCTTACTTTTGTTTAATCTTTGTTTTATTCTTTCTCAAATTTTTATCTTCCTTCCTTCCAATATAATGAACCCTGCCAAGGATAAACTATGACCTTCAGTGGTTTAAGGCTTGTACTGAGACTTGTAGTAAAATCAGGCCAGCATTTTCAAATGTTGATCTATATAGCCTCTTCTAGACAAATCTCCAAATTAATTCATTCTGAGTGAGTTTTTACATATTGCAGTCATTTGAAGGAAATGTCCCCCATCTTCATCCCATAGGCCACAGTGTCTGGTACACTTCCCAATTTCAGTAGGAACCCTTCAGGACTATTCATCTTGTTTTGTACAGTCATCAGTCCTGCCTGTGGGTTTCTTGTTGGTGCTGCCTGTCCAATTTATACAGCAACAAACAGTCCAGGCAAGAGCAGTTTCTTGCCCAAATGGCTAATCTTACCATGTTGAAGGCAAACTCCATAACGAGTTTCTTCGAAGCCCATTCTCCTTTCTGACATAATTTGTGTGCCAGGAACAGTTGTGTCTCACCATCAAGAAAAAACCTAAACCAGTTAAATGCCATATTTTCTATAGGACTTTGGAAAGGTTTGAAGAATATCTTTCCATCTCAAATATATCTTTGTATATCTAGAATACCTGACTAATGTAATTATAAGTTCTGAATATTATAGGTGACTTTATAATCTGTATTTAATTATACATTACATTTAAAAGCTCTATATAAAAACAATACCTAAACAAGAAGAGACATATGCATATTACTAAATTGACCTTAAAGTTGTATCAATAAATGAAAATCCATACCAATGTCAAGTATTCATCTCAATATCCTATTCCTCTTTTTTTTCCTTTAAAAAGTGATTGACAGGGATCAGTGTTTTATCATGATTCCCATGGTCTGGACATATCCCCCAACCAGCAGGATGCATTTTGGAATGAACGACTCCCAAATTCCCAAATATTCTTTATAAATGTTTGTTTTCATTTAAATGGGGTTGGTTATAAATGGTAATGAAAACCCTTCTTTTTATTTAAACAGAAAAGAGGAGATGATGGTGGAGGTCCTTCTGTGTATATGTTTTTCTTATTGGTTGATAAATAAAGTACTGTTGGCCAATAAGAAAGCAAAATAAGTGGGACTAGGAGTCAAGGAGTATTCTGGGAAATGTAGTAAAAAGAAGTGTTGTGATACAGGCAGGAAGTGATATAGCATGCAGACTCATATATAAACAAGGACAAACAGGAAGTAGCTCTCTGGCTCTTCCTCTTGCTCCTGCTCTCTGCTCTGGAGCTACTATGTGATCCCGCAAAGAGGCATCCTCAATAAGATAAGTCTTATAAAATATATAAATTTGTGATAATTAAGACTGAACTAGCATATAAGAAATCCTAGTCCATCAGCCAGCAGCATTGTAAACTAATATATGACTCTGTGTGTTATTCTGAGCACCCAATTGTTGACGAGGCTTGGGCAGATGGAATAAAGACTTATCGTTAAAAGCCCCCAACTTCCTGCAGCACCCTCCAGCCTACTACAGTGCTTTCACCATTCCTTCTGTGATGTGTCTTCTTGGCCAAGGTATTTTATCACAGGAATAGAAAAGTAATTAATAATCATCCCTACATCAAAGTAACCTGTTTTCTAAAACACATTTTATTCTCTAACCTCTCATTTATTTGGGAAAAACTAAAGTATCACTTAATATAATGAATGTCATACTAAGCCCCACTAGTGCTTAGCATGATTGGTGCTTAAACAATGTAGAATGGAATATATCATATTTTTATTGATTATATTTTTATCACTTATACTGAGAATGAATAGTCCTTGGCATGCCTTCTCTTCAGAGATTCAATCTTTCATTCATATGTGTAACTCTTCTTTTACACACATGTAATGAGCACACTTTTTTTAATGACAATTAAGGAAAATAATTTTAATAATTACATAATTTCTGCCGCCCAAACAGAATGGCAATATTCAATTAGTCTCCCTAAAAATAGAAAAAATTTAAAGATATTTACATTCTGAAAAATAGTCAATGGCCATTTAATAATCCTCCCACTTATCTACCAACAAATCAGAAATCCTAAGCCCTGATATGTTTGCTTCTCTGACTATCTCTGCTTCTGCAAAGAAGTTGGTGATCCTACATTGATTCATGTATTTTATCCATATCCCTATTATGTTGGTGCATCATAATACCTATTTTATGAAATTATAATCTCTTCACATAAGTCAATATAGCCAGAACTTATTAGTGCTCCTAAGAATTCTAAACACATCCAATTTCAATAAACTGTTTCTGCTCACAGTATTTCTTGTAATCTCCTCTTATTGAGAAATTAATACCCGATAAGAATTCTTTTTGCTTATTTTACAAACAAAACTGCAACTTTAGGTGTTCCCTAATTTTAATATATGGAAATAATTTAGCCATAAAAGTGGAAAGATTATGACACCCATGCTTTCTAGTAAAAATTTGTGTAACTATACATTATGAAGTCATGTACCTATGTGTTTTTAGTCATTATACACACAGTTCTCTGGAAACAAAAACAATGCATAATAAATTTTTGTAACATTGTTGATAATTCAATTACTAGGATTCAACTAAATTGTCCCTCAGTAGCACACACTGATTCCCAGTTTTTGAATAACTATATGAGCTCAGTATTTTGGGTTTTTTTTTAGCTCCTTACAAGTGAAACACACCTAATTTAATAAATTTTTCTTAGATATGAAAAATTTCCCAATAAATCTCTTCTTAGTATCAAAGGAATTTATCCACAGAAGCACAGTCTATAAGCATGTGTATAGAGAATCACAGAAAATAGTTTCCTTTGTGTGTCACAAATACATTCTGACAATTTCTTATCAAAACAACAACTTGCAGTGTAAAGACTTTGACCTAGAGTTGGTGTAAAACTGTCATACATTGGACATTTGTGCAGCAATCTGGCTCAAGTGGCATAGATCCTTTAAACATCTATTTTCTCCTCACCAAAGTGGAAAACTAATATTATTACAAAAAAATGAACACTAAGATTACCCATATAAAGTACATTGTTAAGTGAAACTGTACATAAAGATGTGCTAATATGCACTAGTAAATAAACCTAGAGAGAGTAATCTTGTTTAAATTGTTCATATTTGTAATAAAATTCTTATCACTATGATTTACAAGTAGTGGAAATGCAATATATACTATGGAAATATTCAGACAATAAAAAATGAGAAGGAAGAAAGGGGAAAACAAAGTACCAGAAATGATTAGTAATGGAAAGTCATGAAAAATGTAGATAACAATGATAGAAAATATAAAAGACAATGATTAACAAAAGTTGGAGGATAAACTGATGATGAATTATTTCATTAAAATTGTACAGTTATATTTCTGTCATAGCTTTTTGTTTTGAAAATACATTGATGTCTTTATGGCTCTGAAAACTGTCTGTTGTTTTACAACTAGGAAAATATGATAGTTTTCTTAAGGTTATGAAAATGTGTTCTTAATATGTCAACAAAAAGGACAGATTTCATATTTTAGAGATATATATGGAGTGTATATTTGTTTATAGTGCATATTCTCTTATTAATCTTACCAAAGTATAATAAATACTGTTAACTAAAATTAAGAAATAATTAGATCTTACTTTTTCTAATGGTTTGATCTCTGAACCCAAATAAGAGTATGTAGATTTGTTAGAGCATGGATAAATCAACAAATCTGAAAGTATGACTTTTAATTTATACTTACTTGAAGAGAAAAGGGAACATCTAGGGTAAAATAAACAAAGACCTATTTAATTACTAAAAATCAACAAATATTAATTATTAACCAATCTTTTCAGATGGAGAGATAGCTCAGAAGTTAATGAAGTTTATTCAAACTTAAAAAGGATTAGAATTCATGTCCCAATGTACAGATAACCGTCCACGCATCTCCACAAACACCTGCAACTGCAGTTCTGAAGTGTAAAGACATGGAACTATCTATGGCACTTTCTGGTTTCCAGATTAAAAATATAACCAAGAACCCCTATTCGGGGAAACACTGAGCTTAATCAGAAAACAAAGAGGATGTTAGATGAGGATACATTATTTACTTAGCCAGCATTTTCTCACCTGAACAGCTGTGAATACCAGCTCATATATGCACACACACACACACACACACACACACACACACACACACATCAAAAGCCCTCATTTTATCATAAATTGCATGGTCATACATCTTCTACTTTTTTATTTTATTTTCATTATATGAGAAGTATTTTATAATTCATTTTGTAAAATTTCATTCTTTTCTTATTTTCTATACATATGGGATTTTTGCCTGCATGTTTATCTGTGTATCACAGGCATGCAGTGCCAAGAGAATCCAGAAGTGGGTATCAGATCCATTGGCACTAGATCCACAAACAATGGTGAACCATCATGCAAGTGATGTAATTGAACCAGTTCTCTGGAAGAGAAGCTAAACAACTAAAATTTTTCTACTGTCCCTAAAATTAATTTCTAAGAGGTCCAGCTATCTTTTTCTCCATAACATGGATCTTTAACTAAAGTGGACCATGAGGGAAAATGGATATTCTTGACAAAGTAACCAGAGGTTCTGAACAATGGAATATAAGCATGAAATTGTAGCTATGAATACAAACTTTGAGTTATTAAAGTTTTTGTTTGGGGCTCAAATATTTTTTAGTTGTTGAAAAAACAGCAAAAATGTATAACCAAAAATGTATAACCAAAAAATTTTTTTTGGTTATAGTTTAGTTTTTTCTGTTGAGAAAATATTAAACCAAATTTACAAATAACTTAGAAAATAACAAGGGAAAGAAAAATGAAACAACATTTGATGAAAGGTGAGTGATTTTTATATACAATTTTTTGGAATTTTGATATATGTGATCTTTCCATAAAATCTGAAGCAAAATTTATTAAAAAGAAATTTAGAGAAATGCATTAAATTGATATCTATTCATTTGATTTCAACACCTTATAAAGAACTACATATAGATCACTCAAATACAGTTAGAAGAAAACAAATTAGAAGTGTACATTGCTATTTTGAAATTTAGCCTCAAAAAACATGACAGAAAATAGTAGATATTAAAAAAATGAAACCACAATTCATCTACAATGTCAAAAATATTCCAGAAACAGTTCATGCATTTAATGCAAATTGTAATATTGGAAGTGATAATTATTAATTTTTTACTAATATCTAGGAGACCTAAGATACATTCCCAATACATAAGATATTATTTTAATGCATGGTACTCGTTTATGGATAAGTAGAAAACTGGAAGTAATATATTCCAGTGTTGTTCCACACTGCTGTAAACCTGGGTCTCCTGAAGTGTATTATCAAATGACCTCATGGTCTTGATTAAAAACAAATGGCTTTTGTTCCAGAGTGAAATCAGTCTAGCTATTGTCCTTAATACAGCAATAATAATGTAGCTAGAAAATTGTGATAATGTTTCTTTAACTGAATTAATTAATCATGAAACTGCATTAAGAAAAATGTCATAGTAATGTACACAAACCTTAAATTGCAAAGGTCCTTCACTACAACTCTCACATTCATACCTCAAAAATCAAATGGCAATCACACCACATAGTGTGAGCAAATGATATTCCATTTAGCAATCTGTTAAATTTAAAATAGAAATTAATCAGATTCTAGTAGGTAGTTGTTAAAATATAAAACACATTCCCATATCCTCCTATCTACATAATTCCAATAGCTTGTTACCCCGGTGTGTAACTCTGAACATCAATCCATTTGCCCTGCATATTTGGTCTTCTTTGATTCCCCTTTGTGTTCATGCTGTGTATGTCACTGTCATAAGCAGCTTGTCCCCACTACCTTTTTGTTTGCTCCTGCAATTTAACTTTTCTCTGCTTTTTCCTATGTTTAGTTTTCTTCATTTCTGCTTTCTTTAGTTCAATGTATCTGTTGCCATTTTTTTCCATTTCTTCTTAATACAGTGTCTGATGGAAGCAGAAGCAGAGATTCGTAGCAAACCAATGAACTGAACTTGTGGTATCCAGTTGTAGAGAGGGAGGAATGATCAGCAAAGGGGTCAAGATCATGCTAGGGAAACCCACAGAAACAGCTGACCTGAGGAAGTGGGAGCTCACTGACTCCAGGCTGACAGCTGAGAAACCTTAATAAGACCAAGCCAGACCCCCTGAGCATAGGTGTCATTTGGGAGGTTTGGGTAGTCTATAGGGCCTCTGGCAGTGGAACCAGTATTTATCCCTAGTGCATGAACTGTTTTTTTGGAGCCCATTCCATATGGAGGGATACTCTCTCAGTCTAGATACACAGCGGAGGGCCTCGGCTCTGTCTCAAATAATGTGACAGACTTTGATGGTCCCCCATGTTAGGCCTCACCCTCCCAGAGGAGTGCGTGTGGATGGGATGGGGAGATGGGAGGGAGATGGGAGGATGTGAGGGAGAGGGAACTGGGATTAGTATGTAAAATAAGATTTTTTAATTTAAATAAAAATAATTTTTAATAAGTGCCATAACAACAAAGAAACATTTTGCTGTATTTTCAATAGTAAAAGTGATTTTTACTATATGTACATACTCATCACAAAATTGTTGACTATCATAAATTAATTTAGAAAGAACATTCATTTCTATGCACTAAGGTTAAAGCTTCTAACCATGCCCCTAGATCTCAAAATTCTGAATAGTTATTCTGCATGGTTTTTCCTTTTCTTCTGCTATTTCCTTACTGTCCACTTGTCCTGGTCTTATATTTCTTCCAAGTTTCAAGTACTCCCTATTAACTGCTCTTTAGTTTTTAATTCAGAAACTTCTCTTTTTAATTTCATGGGAGGTTTGTTTGTTTATATTCCCTTCACCAGGGTGCCTGAAAAAGAAAATGCTGTAAACTAATGTCACCAGGAGGCTCAATGTTGCTCAAATCAATACAAAAAGTCTTTACCATTCTGTTTCTCAAGTTCAAAGCACTTCCCAGTAACATAAAAGCCACATATCTTACATGAGAGCCTGAGGATTATAAGATATTTAATTCATGTGATGAAAGTATGACGGCTATTTTTTCATATTTCTCTTCAGTCTATTCCACCTTCAATTCTTCTTGCCATTATAACTGCCAACAAGCCACAACAAATGTGTTAACAAGAATATTTACCTGATCTTGTCTGTAAGAGGCAATAGGAATAAAAGTATTGAGTGAAAAATGGAACTGTAGCTTGAACCACTTAAAGCGTTGTCAATCATCCAAGTATCAATGAAGTTCATATTTATAAAAACCTATATATGAGGACATCATCCTAGATGCATAGAATAGAGCTTACAGCCCTAGAGAGCTGTGAATATTAGATAAAATAATAAATACAAAAGACCAAACACTGTTCCTGGCAGAAAGTGTTACTAAAGATTAATAAATGCCATTATCATTCAATATCCTCAGAGGGATTTCTTTGATACTTGTAGAATTGAAGAACATGGAGAATTTTAATTTTGCATTGAAATGTTCAAGATGTCTGGAGCTGATTCTTTCTTAGTTCTTGTACTTACTAATTTCAGAACCAGGAACCAATGAACTCTCTTTATCTACCCCAGCAACAACACATAAGTCCTCTGACAAGTCCAGATCTATGTCTATTTTATTGTTCTTTTCCTTGAGACAGAAGAGAATTGCATTTTTAATAGGAAAGTCAAATTACCACTCCGTGAATGATCTCATCTTCAGAGTGAAATGAACTCCTAGGATATAGTGGTCGTAATCAGGAAGAAGCACAGATTGGGGAAAATATTCAGAGCACTTGAATATATTCACCTCAAACTGCCTTTCACTATCTACCCTCTTCTCTTCCTCCACAGCTTATCATCAGTGCCCTGTATGAACTCTTCCCACTGGAGATTGTATCTTATGACTGCAGCTTATTCAGTTCTCAAATCTTATCAAACTACATATGGAAATTCAGACATTTTATTGTGTGCTAATAATAATCAAGTTTGAAAGAAGATACATGCTGTGAGTTGTCTTCGTTTGCCCTCAAGTCCCATGTGTTACAGCCTACACCTTTGAAAGTCCAGATCACAGTCTGGAAGGGCTGTAGAATTAGAAGATGTGAGATCATTGGAGGTGTGCCCATGACAAGGATTAGGGGACTCCATTCTGTTCTTACTTTTGCTACCTGGCCAGGAGGGTAAGCAGCTTTTTTCTGTCACACGTTATCACTCTATGATGTGCTGTCACGGGTCTAATCTATCCTGATCATGAAGGAGGGAGAACTCCGAAATTGTGAGCCCAAACCAACATTTTCTGTTCACATTTTTTTGTTTGTTTGTTTTTCCAGACAGGGTTTCTCTGTGTAGCTTTGGATCCTATCCTGGCACTCACTTTGGAGAACAGACTGGCCTCAAACTCACAGAGATCCACCTGCCATTGCATCCTGAGTGCTGGGATTTAAGGCATAAGCCTCCAACTATTGATTGTCTAGCTGTGGGTGTCAGTGAAGAGGCCTTGGAAATCTATGGGTCCTCTGGTAGTGGATCATTATTTATCCCTATTGTACAAATGAACTTTGGGAGCCCACTCCACGTAGAGGGATACTCTCTCAGCCTAGACACATGGGGGAGGGCCTAGGCCCTGCGCCAAAAGATATGACAGACTCTGAAGATTGCCCCATGGAAGGCCTCACCCTCCCTGGGGAGCAGAAAGGGTATGGATAAGGATTTAGTGGGGGGTAGGGGAGTAGAGGGAACTGGGATTGACATGTAAAACAATCTCATTTCTAATTTAAATTTAAAAATGGAAAAGAAAAAACAAACAAATTAATTGTTTATATTTACTACAGTGATGGAAAGCTGAGTGATGAACTGATACCCTATTTTGTTTGTATTCACAGGAATAATATTATATATGTGCCATTCCAGAGAAACTGAGACTCATCTAACTGTATATCATATAACATTTATAATTATCTTCTTGGTTACATAAGTCACATGTCTTTTCTTTGTAAAAAGGTTTTCTTCCGCAAATTAATGCGCTCAATGATTAAATGTGAAAATATGACAATCCTCAATTTTTAAAATTGGACTGGCCACATTGTAAACCCTCACAAAAAGCATACAGCTTCTGGCTGTCAACACAGAACATTCTTACTGCCATGAGACATTTCACTGGACTGGGCAAATGGAAAAAAACGGTCATGTTCTCAGATGTTTAACAATAATCATTATTTTTATTATTGATTTAGTTGATTAACTGATAATCCTACCTACCCTCTTATTTTGTTTCTTCTGTAATCAATATACTTGTTATACTTTCAACATCTTTTATTAATTTTCTGCCTTAATTAATGAATTTCCCTGTGAGTGTATTCCATTTCATCACCATGTCATACATGGTCTTGACCCTGAAGCACGAATAACTCCAGTTTGTTGGTAGAGTTCAGAGGGACTCATTACTCACTCATCTAAATTACCACCTTAGTTTTCTTCCCACTTGCTCAACTGCATATTTCTTTTTACCTTCATTAGCTTCCATGCTCTATAACAGGCCCTGTGCTAAAGCAAATTTTATGATCTCTTAAAAATGGATCACCATCTAGCTTCCTTATTTTTATCCACCTTGAACTCATGAATACCTATTTGTTAGTAACAACTTAAGGCACTATGCTCCCAAATATCCTTCCTTATCACTTTGATCAACATTATATAACCCATGCTGCAAATGACAACTATATTTGCTTAGCGACCAAGCAGTATATTGAAGTATATCCCATGCACTGAATTAAAATTAAATATTAATGATTTGCAAAGCAATGCTTTCAAATAGGCACCTACATGAATTCTACAGCATACCATTTTTTCTAATATCACTATTATCTATATACCCTTCCTTAGTAACAGACAGATATTTCTAATAATTTTAGTATATGCCATGAAATCATAAGAACATTTTATATACATGTTATCTTTTTGGATAGCTTATAGATTAAAAATAATACTATGCTCTGTACATATTGGAAATCAGTAAACTTCAAAGATTTTAATTACACCATATGCAAGTGATTTGAATGTAAATAGGAACAATAGAATATTATCCTTTCCTAGATGAAAGAAAAACACAAAGGAAATCAGCTGGAGATGCCTTAACATCAATTCCTGTTGTTTATTTGATGTTTAACTCCCATGTAAACAATATTTAAAAGGAAACATAAGAGCTAATTGTCAAATCAAATGTACTTTCTTGGAACAAAGAACCAGAACACAGTGACACAATGAGTGGCTCGTCCTACAGACCAACTGCTCCAAGCAGCCTTCTCGCTCCCCTTTGGCAGATGGTACTCGTTATGACTGCTCTCAAATAGAGTGGTTTGAAGCAGGCTGTATTTACAATTATGGCTCTCACATAAGGAGGTTTACTAGGGCTCTAAAGCTAATTAGCACTGTCCACATCTCAACATTTGTCTGTTCGGCTAGCCCACAAGCCCTCTTTGCAATTATGGAGGGAGGACAGCCTGGGGAAAGGGTAGATACTGAAAATCTACACATGATTGCTATAATGTGGCAGTGCCTTTAAAATATGAAGTAAATGAGGAAACTTAAAAGCATAAGTACAGTTTTAAAAGCCATGTACAAAGGACAATTCAAAGGACAGGAATGTCATGACAGAAAAAACCTATAAAAATATAATATTCAAACCTATGCCTGTTTACATTTCTTCAAGAACTGTATTTGGTTGCTTGGGAGATCAGTGTTCATGTACATACTAAAACATCTGGACTACAAGTGAGAATTTAACTGTGAGTATATCGGAATGAACAATCTTTTCTTCTTTCTTTAAAAAAAGTACAACACAAATATACCGATATATACTGCTATAAAGTATAAGCATGCTTGGACAGAGAAAATAAGCAGCAACTGACTTAAGTTTTACAAATGAGAACTCATGCCCAAGGAAAGCCAAGCTAGTAACCAATCACCATCCATCTCCATCCACAGCAAAATTCAATCTGAAGTAGAAGTATACTAAATACTTGCTATATGTCATTGATTTTTAACAGCTGCAATGTAAATAACATTATTGTAGTCAAGATATAAGGCATACTCAAAACACAAGACCTCAAACCTAATATTTATATCAATGAAAGTCTGCAATGGAAGCATTCTCTTTGACTCTACCATGCTTTATTGCATCCTCTCTTTCTTCATTTATTATACTGTATTACTAATTAATCATTTCTAACTCTCAGTGAAGAATGTATGTGTAGTTAACATTTTGAGTACCAAGGAGGTGTAATAAAAGAAAAAATAGAAGGTTTCTAATTTAACTAAAATGTTTTATAGTAAAACCGCTTTTTGTCCTTTACCTTCAAATTTCAAAACAAGTGGCTGGAGCAATAAATGACTCAGTGTTTAAGAGCACACACTACTCTATCAGAGGACCAAAGGTCAATTCCTAGTTCCCATATTGGACGGCTTACAAGCTCCTGTTAATTTCAGTTTAAGCAATCTGACACATTTTCCTGATGGTAGAAAACTCACATGCACAAATATATATATAAAATATATAATATATATTATATATATATATAAAATATATATCTTACATATGTGCATAAGTATATAAATACAAATCCCTGAGTCCATTTTTGTTGTTTGTATGTATACGGTTTCAGGAATAAGCACTTTATATTGATTAACTAATTATGGGGATCATCACCAGAATAAGCTAATTATATCTCTCTCACCAGACGTTAGTTGTCTTCAATGTTTTGTCTAGGGATAGGAAACCCTCAGAATTTCTTCCTTCCATGTTACATGTATGTTTGGGTCTTGGTTAGGCAGCCATTTCCATGAGACAGTCTCAGAGCAGATACTCTGTTCCTCTGGCTCTTACATTCTTCCCAGTCCCTCTTTTTCATGTTCCCTTAACCTTAGATGAAAGTTGTTGTCAATGGTATTATTCATTCTAAATGAGTTTCCCACAATACTTTGATCTCTACATTGTGTTCTGTGGTAGTTTTCTGTGTCTCCTTTTGTTGTAAACAGAAGGTTCTTTGACAAGGAATGAGAGCTACACTTATCTATGAATATAAGGATAAGTTGTAGAATGTAGTTAAGACTTTTGCTATATTAGGAAAGTGGTATAGTAGGTGCTCTTCTAAAATTCATGACCTTAGTAGCCTCATTATTTGTCAAAGTTTCTAGCACCAGGAATGATTTCCATCATACTGAGTAAGCCTTAAGTTCAATTAGACTATTGCTAATTAGCACCAATGCATGTCCTATTGGACATTTAGATACATCTCTCTGTAGTGGTCACTATAGTTTTTCATAGGCATAACAGAGAACTAGTATGGTGGTTTGAATTAGAATGACATTCAGAGGGTTATTCATTTGATTGCTTGGTTCCCAGTTCTGGAAACTGTTTGGAAAGGATTAGATGTGGCTGTGTTGGAGGGAGTCTATTTTTGAAGGTGGAGGTATCACTGGAGGTGGTCTCTGAGGGGTCAAAAAACTATAGTATTCCCAGTTAGCTTACTTTGACTCCTGCTTGTGGATAAAGTTGTGAGCTCTCAGCTGTAGTTACAGACCCATGTTTGCCTGCCTGCTACCATTCTCCCCACAATGATGGTCATGGTCTCCAACCTTCTGGAACTGTAAATCCCACATTCAGTCGCCATAATTAATAAGTTTTAATGATTATGTTATCTTCAAATGCAATGGAAAAGTAACTGAGACAGAAAGGATGATTGATTGGTTTCTTCCCTTGGCAGCTTGAGCAGTGCTTTCTGGTACTGTGGAAACTGGACCACAGGAAGGAGACTTTCAGATGCAATCCAGCTTTACACATCTCTTCCCTGAATCCTAAATGTGAAATGTCTTCAGCAACTTCACCTTCAACTGATGAAGGGCAACAGCAATACCAACAAATTTTTACTATAATTTATCTTATAAGAAAAATATATTTTCATTAAGAAAGTAAAAATATCTGTCAAGAAAGCAAAAATGATATTTATCAAATGTGATATTTGGTCTGAAATATTGAAATGCCAAACTATAGTTGACCATTTCCAGGAACCATGCAGTGATGAGTTATGTGACTCAAAGCTACTTTGCTCACAGAAAACAAAATAAAAAGTTATCATTTCCTAAAATTCCCTAACAAGTGAAATTGAATTAAAATTATATTGGCAATATAAGGAATTACAATTTTGTGGAACAAAAGCTTATATCCTGGGGCTAGAGAGATGCACAACATTTAAGAACTTTTTTGACTCCTGCAAGGGAGCCAGGGTTTCCTCTAAGCATCCACACCAGGTGGCTCACTTGCTACTACAGTCCAAAGGCTTCTGAGATCCAAGGTAAATGCATGCATGTGCTGAACATACAAACAAGTAGGCGCACACATACACAGTAAATACAAATAATTCATTTTAAAATACTCTAAATACACCATATTTATAGTAATTGTCTCAACAATACACTATACAAGCATTTAGCAGAGCATGGAGAGAACCTGGTATTGCTGAACAGGCCTTACCTACCAAAGGAGGTTATTGGCAATGACAAGAGAAAAACATGAACAAATAAGTACACATAGAAAGAAGACCAAACATTGAAATCAGGGGTCTATTTGACAGAATACAAAATTTTACTAATGGCGTTACTTGGCCCATTGGTATAATTGGAAGATTTCAGCTCTGAGAACTGACAGAAAATGTTATGACAAAAACTGTCTCTAAGCATGAAATAGCAAACTAAATGTCAACAGCAAATGAGATGTTCTAACATAAATATTGTGTAAAACACAGGCTAAAAAGATGATTATAAAACAGGATTCTCTAAAACCATAGATAAAAATCCCTTGGCAATCTTATAGACAATTTGGTTAAATAAGTATTTTGCAAATTAGGTAATAACACTATTATTTATTAAGTAAAACTACTGTGTATTTCCAACACACAAAACTGATTAATGTTTGAACATATGGAAGTGCTAATTAGACTAATTGGACTATTACATAGTATAGAAGTGAATCAAATTACCCTGATGTACCACATAAAGATATACAATACAGGTTCTTAACAAAATTATAATTCAGTTGCACTCATCAATTTATACTTATTATGATATATATTGCAATAAATATAACATATTAATTTTGACTCAGAATATGCCATGCGTTTATACATTGTAATTTTGAATGTTACCAGTTTCCAAAGGTATTATAAATTTAGATTAAAAAATCATGGAAGTATCGTTATATGATTTAATACAATACAAAGGCATCTTTAGCTTCAAAATTACTTTATTTAAAACACTGAAAATACTAGAAACAATGCTTCCTGATTTCCAAAACAATAGTTCATATGTAGTCTATGCAAACAGAAATGTGGTTTTTAACTTACAAACACATGAATGTTGGAACTTTCTAAGGCTTGATAATAAAAATCATATTGCAACATTATTATAAGATTTATTTAAAGTCTAAAATTTCACTTTGTATATTTAGTAAATACGTGCAGATCCTAGTAACCCATCAAAAGGTGTTATCTAAGTAAACTTTGTAATACCACTTTAGGATTCCCGTGTTTATAAAAGAGCTCAAGACAACAGCACAACCTTTTGTTTGCTGTTAGCTCTATAATGGCATTGTCCACAAAGACCATATACCCCAACAGGGCATAGCGGCACATTTAAACCTTTAATTCCAAAACTCAGAAGGTGGTGGCAAGCAGATCTCTGAGTTCTTAGGCCAATCTCCTCTCTACTCAGATACCCAGTAAGATCCTGCTGGAAAAAATAAAAAGAAAAGAAAGGGAAAGAGGGAGGGAGGGAGGGATGGAAAGGAAAGAAAAGGAAAAGCCAAGAGGAAAGAAAAGAAGTGGAGGGGGAGAGGTGAGGTACGGATGGGAGGGGAGGGAAGGAGAGAAGAGAGTACAGGAGAGGAGAGTACAGGAGAGGAGAGAACATGACAGGAGAAGAGAGGAGGAGAAGGAGGGAAGGGGTGGAGAGGGGAGGAGAGAGGAAGAGAAGAGAGGAGGACATCTCTTGATATTGAATTTCTCAATCTCTAAAAATGTGAAACATAAATCCACGGTTTTTACAAACTATGTGATCTCCCTGAGAACAAATGGACTAGAACAAGCAGTTTCTGAAAATGTCTTCCAATTTGAAAGAATATGGTTTCATGACAATTTTCTCTGATTCAAAAATTCCATATTGTATCCAGAGGTATGCTTGTTAAATTCAAGTATCTAGGGATATGAAGCTTAGAACCTCATACAGGTATGATATAGAAAAACTCCTCCAGAAAACAACTTTTGTAGGAAGGCATTGATTTGCATGTAGCACCTAGGATGCAGCTTTTGTGAGTCATCACCCTACTCTGGCTTTTTTTGTATTAATGAAAAACACTCCACAAAAAGTAGAGCTAAACTCTGTTAACATACTAAGGAAGTGTAAAATGAAATACTAAGTGAATCCTGTCGCTCTACTTGGTAATGCATTCCACTGAGCATTCTTTGTTTTCAATCTGTTAGGAGAAATAGAAATGAAGAAACTGGCAAGACAACATCTACATCACTAACTTTTGAAAAAGTTTATCATTACATATGAAAGTTTGATGCATCACATATCATTACAAAACAAATGAATTTTTTTCTGGTTTATCCAGTCTCCAGTAAATATACACTTCAAATGATACAAGAAATCACAGATGGGGTCAATGAAATTTAAGTGTGCATGACTTCAGTCTAGATTCATTACCATGTCATAAAATATCACATCAATCTACTCAAAAAATGCCATGTTATTTAAATTACTGAAAAGATAGAAACATTTAACACAACTAGTATGTATAGACCTATACTTTCCATTCTTAGTTTGATTTGCAAGGTGATTTTTTAAACAGTTGTTTATTTTATTTTATATGGATTCTACATAGTAGTTTTCAATAAATGACAGGAAGATATTATTAACAGTATTGCTACTTTCACACCTTATTTAGCATAATTTGTAGCTTACATTTTATGTATCTGATGTGCATTTGGGCTTTTGTGTTCTTCCATGGCCTTCATTTAGCTGGGATTCATGATTATATAAATTTTTAAAATGCTTGCTTAAAGAACACATTTTTCAAACCCTTATTAAAGTAATTAGAAAAATACATGTTCAGTCAACTCCCCTTTAGAAGCTTCTTTGAGATTTTGTCACCAATATTTGTAATTTAAAATCAAATGTAATCTATACATCAAATGTAATCTATACAGGGAATATGGTCACTTTAATGAAAACCCAACAGAAAGTCAATGAAAAATTGAGGTAGATGACCTACTGCTAAGCAGGCAAAATGTAAGCCTTATTAAACACACCAGGAAATAAATGATCACCAATACATAAAGTTAAAATAAATAAAATCCTACTGCTTAAGACACAATGGCTTTACCTTTACTCAAACAGTAATGAGTATGTGATAATAAAGGACAGATTAAAAATAAATGTTTATATAGAGAGTAAAGGTTAGAGTAGCCATATTTTATATCACATTTAATGTGCAACATTTTTTTAGTGATATAACTGATGACAGAAAGAAACCCAGGGTACATTAATAAAGAGAAGTGAGTTGTTGCATGCATGAGAACTGCATTTGTATGTTGACCCTAGATCAGGGATTCTCTAACCCATCTGCATATTAGAATCACCTGAGAACATTTGTGAACAAACCATTATCAGGGTCTGTCCCCCAGTGATTCCCATTCAGTCTGTTTGCATAGAGCAGAGCACCAGCATACATAAATATGTTTCATTCAGGTTCTGCAGGTGGCTTTACCTTGTTATTTGAGAAGCACTGTGGAAGGCTTATTTCCCTATCTATGAAGGATATCATTGCATATTTTTATTAATATGTTTCCTATAAATGTTATTTCAGCATAAATGCTGTAGCACATATAGACCACAGCATTTTAAACAAATACTTAGAATGCCTCTGTTTCCACAATTTGAATATACTGTCTCTATCACTTGGTATACCTATTAGAGTATGGCTTTATTAACAAAATATCTGAAATCCTTCACAGTAAACTCTGACTTTATATAAAATTTTAAACATTTTCCTAAATAAGCTATAGACATATCTGCTAAATTGTTGTTGGGGGACCTTATAGGAGAATCTTTCCAGTGCATTGTAAGACATTAAACAGAAACTCATTTTTTTTTTACTCTGTGATAATAAACAGAAATTTCCAAAGTGACAATCACAGGCATTTTCCAAATATCATCAAGTATTCCTATCTGGGATTTACCGCCTGGAATTATTCTTTTTCTTATTCACAGAATGAGTAGAGAACTCTGGATATCAATGATATATTTAAATCTTACCACTTGCTCATAAAAATAACAAGAAACTGTCAAGATACATTTCTGTTACAATACTCCATTTATAGTATTATAGCATGATAGTGTGTGGAAACAAAGATATCCAAACTTCACAACAAGAATCTGCAAATTCAGAATTCTAAACAAAAGGTCAAGTAAGTAATGGTAGTAACTAGCAGGGAAAAAGTTCCTCAAAGCATCATTTCATTAATTCATTCAAAAATTGTTGGGAATTCATTTCCAGCTATCATAATTCTATGTGTAGCTTTTATGACAATGAAGGATAGAAAGTTTCATCATTACGCACTACTTATGTCTAGATCATTTCTTCTCATGAATGTATTGAAATATGTATCTATAAAACACCACTGAAATAATAAACTGACAAAGAGTTACGCATAGGAGACATTACCCCCCTCAATAACATGAAGGAAATCGGATGATGGTAAGGGATCTTGTAGAAAGGAATCCTACATGGGCTCTAGTAAGAAAGATTCAGGACAAAGTGACTATGACTGGAGCAAACCTTAGTAGATGAGCATTCCCCAGGCATGTATGAAAGTTCAGCTACAATAATGAGTACAATACATACAGGAAGAAACAAAGGAAGAGGAGGTGGAAGATGGGAAGGAAGAAAAGGAGGAGAGTCATGAAGGGAAGAGATGGTAAAGGGGAGAAAGAAATAAAACTGAACCTTGATTTACAGTTTTGAGTTTGATATAAAATAATGTAGAATTATACAATATTTAAAAAGCAGTTCTCTTTATAGGAAAAATCAGCTTCAGAAAAAATGCATTTTGTATATTAAAAGGTTTCATCATATATTGAGATTAAAATGCATGCACTATATCAAATTGGGGTGTATTAACTCTTGAGGGCATTAGAAAAGGGAAAATGAATAATGGCATAACAGGCATCTTTTCTAAATTGGTGTAGTCCATCACAAATTAATTCACAGAGAAAGATCTGAAAATTCTTCTCAACCATAGAAGATAGTTACAATGAGTATTGTATATAGCAGCTGCCCTGAGGAAGCATGGATCAGAGAGATGGATGGCAATAACCTGGTGCTATTTATAAGGATATTACCAATGTATGGATATTCTTAACTTAATTCATTGGAAATTCTACTTTATAAATAAAGATAAAGGAATAATTCACTTATCACATGACTCAGACCAAACCCTAGGCTTGACCACAGCAAATTCTATTTTACGATTATTTTTCTAGTAGTTGTTCCAAGC